TCGGAATCTATTTCTTTCAAAATTGTTGGTATTGCGCCAGGTTTAAGTTGTCGGCGCTTCTCTTTAAAACCTAGTTGTTTTTTCACGGCCGAAGACAGTTTTCGAAAAAAGAATCTGAGGTGAAGTGGACACTACATATGACGCTGTAAGGAGAAGGTCCACCCCAACCTTTTCTCGTTGTTTTCACGGCTTTCGTTTACTGACGTCGCACCTTCGGATCGTTTGGAAAAGTGTGAATACTTACACTATGACTATACGTATTACTGCAACCGCCCACAACACAACGTTTAACCATCACAAACGTTTGTTCTGAAAACAACTTCTAAAAACTCTCTATCTCAAAAAAAAAAAAAAATGACAAAAAAAAGAAATGCCGACCGAAAAATGTATATCGTTTAAAAGTATGTTGAATCACGCAGTGTTATATAAGTACAGCTCAGGAGTATGGCTTCCTCTCATATTTTGGCATTTGGTGGCGCACTTTCGGCGAGAGTCGGAAATCCGGAAACAGTCGACCGTTTCAGGATAGGTGGGCGTGGCTACAGCACGAGATATATCTTAAATTTACTTGGACAGGAGTAACCATTTTGACAAAAAAAATCAATAACTGCCCACTTCAGTAGGACACGGATCTAAAATAGTTAACGTGAGAGTGGGCATTGCACAGGCACTTTAAACTGAAGGCATGCAAATGTCCAATATTTTGAGATGAAGTAAACAGCCCCATTAAAATTATGCAAAAAATCAATGTAGAAATACTTAATAACAATATTGAATATTTTTATTAACAACCACCTATACAGTTATTAAAAAATGCATTAAAGGTTCATTTGTATCAACAACATTTGTATCTCTGAAACATTTTGTATATTTTTCTATTATAGTTTCTCAGTTAATTTTGGATCAACTGTCTTGATCAAAATATAAATTAGAAACAGTTACAGAATTTTGTCAAAGTTGACTTGATGATGAAAAAGTTATTAACAATGTTTGACAGAGGGTAGATACTCAGGTTGATAGTTACAATGTACAAATGAGAAACTATCATCATGTACATGCATTGTTATTTGAATTCAAATTTAGATGTCACTCTCATTTCAATGTCAGATGAGAGAGACAGTCTGTCATTTAGCATGGCATTTAGGTTACAATTTTAGTACATGAAATAAATGTGATATTCCTATTTATGAAAAAATTAAACTGTGTTTTTGGTATATTATGCAATGGTTGTAATTTTGTTGGTGAATTACTTGGTTACAAGTGATCTAGAATACAGTCAGTCCGGTCACACTGATTTGTTCAGTTGCATTGATTCATCCATACATGCTGATTCACATTCGAATAACTTGTTTTTAGGGATTATGAACAATTATTATTACTCATTCATGAATATTATAACACATAAAAATAAATTTATTGGTTTGATATTAAATGCAGGTAATATTTACCTTAGTTTCATTGTTAATTAATGTTTATGATAGATTACCAAAGTGGCATATCTCAACGGATGTATAGGTACCGGTAACTCACCTTCTGCCCCCTCTCTTCTTTCTGACAGGATCAATTGGAGCAGGAAGTGGCTTAGCTTGTTTAACCGGAGGAGGCTCCTGTAATTTATCTAACTTTCTTTCAATTTCTTCTCTTAGTGTTTGTCCAGCTTCACCGAGAGAGGTATCCTGAAAGCTGTCAACGCGGGCTGCTAGTGTACACTTGGCAGCAACAAGCCTAGCTGCTTTTTTTCGAAGATCCTGAAAAATATTTTTTTTTTGGGAATATTTTCATTTTTCTTATTTTTTCATTTATTTTTCTCTATTTTTCAAAATAAGCACAATGGATAAATTACAAATTTAAATGCCAAAATTAAGTAATTATTATGCAAAAAAAAAAACGTTTTTAGCATGCATTTAATAACAAATCATAAGTGTTGCGTTTATCATACAACATCTATGCACTACAATCAGTTTCAATTGAACTAGAGTCTGAGATATTATTTTGACAGACAGAGATAGATAGACAGACGAACAGACAAGTTTAAACAGACACACAGACAAGAGACTTCTGTAGTGGTTTATTAACACAATTGAAGTCAAGTGTAAATAACAATTTAGGCTAGCACTGAATGTGGATCTTGTCATTCCAGTAAAGGCACTAGCGTCAACTCAAAAACAAAATAGTAAATTTAGGCACACACTCAATCTGAGTAGAATATGTCCAAGGTTTTTATTCCAAGATTTGTAGGAGCAGATACATTTGGCACAAAAGGAATTCCTTTTTTCAGCTGTAGCCATGACAATGGTGCGCAAGGATTTTTTTTCTTTAGATTTTACTGCATAACTAGAAGGTGTGATCTGCCTGCCAAGTTTGAATGAAATTGACCCAGCCAAAGAAATTGCAGAAGAATTAAAAAGCTGTTAGTGGTGAAAAGATTGAGGTCAAATTTCTCAACAATGAAAAAAGATATAAAAAAAACATAGTGAATTCGGGCACACACTCAAGTTGAGTAGAATGAGATATGTCCAAGGTTTTTACTCCAAGATTTGTACAAGATGCATTTGATGCAAAGGAATTCAAAAATGGCTGTTTCATGGCAATGGTTGGACAGAATTTTTTCCAGATTTTTCCACCTACGGTAACTAGAATGAAGTTGTGACATGCATGCCAAGTTTGAACGAAATCAGCCCAGCAAAAAAAAATCACAGAAGAGTTAAAGTGCCTGTGCAATGCCCACCCTCACGTTTCCCATTTTAGATCAGTATCCCACTGAAATGGGCAGTTATTGATTTTTTTGCTGAAAATGATTACTCGTATCCAAGTACATTT